AGAGAAACTCAAGAATATTCTCTTCATGCTTTAGCCATTTTATCTTGTGTTACAGCATGAAACACTAATCAGATAGGGCTTTGAGCAGAAGCATGCTTTCCAGCTGAGCAGCTCAGTTTCCCCCAACAGACCTATGCCCCTGAGGCTACGTGGAATCCTTTTCAGCCTGCACTATGGCAAACTTCTTTCATATTTGCTTTGACACAAGCCTTCAACATGCTGACGCATGACTGCATGGTAGGAGCTAGTCAATAGCTTTTCTTTTTAATAAAAGTACATATTTGTCATTTCATTCACTTCTGACCTGGGTCAGAAGCTTCAGTCAGGACCTGGATCCACCAACTAATTCCAGAAACCAACTTCTTTGAATAAGAAAATGCATTACAATTCAAATTAAAAGGTAATTCTAGAACCCTGGAGAAAAAAAAAAATATATTAGTTTTGTTGCACAGCTCTATACTGGCAAAAGTTAAAATGGGAAGGCATAACTGACATCACCACAGAAAGCAGGCCCCAAAGAAATCAGTGATCAGGGACAGGATCAGCTGGACCCAAAACATTCCTGCAGGACGTATTTTTTACTAAAATGTTCTAGATAACTAAATGAGGTACTGGTAGGTACAATATGTACTGGTTTCCTAAGGTCCAGCACAAAGCTCCCTTGACAAAGTTTAAGCATTTTTATTCTCTCCACACTGGATACAGAACAGTTTACTCCCTTCTTTGCAGTGTGACCATCACATCCTATGTGTAACAATATTCTAAAGTAAATGTTTTAACATTGTTTCGCACAGTATCACAGGGCATGGCTAAGGTTGGAAGGGACTTCTGGAGATCATCTGGTCTGGCATCCCTGCCCAAGCATGACCACCTAGGGCGCACTGCCCAGGACCATGTCTAGATGGCTTTGGGAGGTCTCCAAGGATGGAGACTCCAGCAGGTCTCTGAGCAATCTCTTGCTAGTGCCCCATCACCCTCAGTGTAAAAAAGTGTTCCCTGGTGTTCAGGAGGAACACTCCATGTCCCAGTTTGTGCCCATTGCCTCTGGATCTGACACCGGACACCACCAGAAAGAGCTTGGCTCTGTCTTTCCACCTTGCCTTCAGATTTTAATATATATTGATAAGGTCCCCTCTGAGCCTTCTCTAAGCTGAACAGTCTCAATTCTCGCGGTCTTTCCTCACAGGAGAGTTGCTCCATACCCTTCATCATCTTTGTGACCATTCATTGGACTCTCTCCAGTAGCTCCCATATTAGGGAGTTCAGAGTGTACTCCAGCAGTGACGTCATCTGTGCTGAATGGAGGGCAAGGATCAGCTCCTTCAACCTGCTGGCAACTCTCATCCTAATGCAACCCAGTATATCATTTCCCTTCTTTGCTGCAAAGACATGTTACTGGCTCATGTTCATTTTTATGTCCACCAAAACTCCTAGGTCTTTTGCTGCAAAACTCACCAGCTGGGTGGTTCCCACCACGTACTGGTGCCTGTGGTTGTTCCTCCCCAGGTGCCGGACTTTGCACTTCCCCTTGTTCAACCTCATGAGGTTCCTCTCAGCCCATTTCTGCAGCCCATTGACCGGGAAGCACAACCATCTGGTATTTCAGCCACTCCTCCAAGTTTCCTGCCATCTGCAAACTTGCTGAAGATACACTCTGCCCCACTGTGTAGATCATTAATGAAGATGTTGAACAGGATCAGACCCAGTATTGACCCCTGAGGTACACGACCAGTTATTGGCCTCTAACTAGAGTTTGTGACATTGATCACCACCCTCTGGGCCTGGCCATTCACCTCTGTCTACACATCCAGCCCATACATCAACAGCTGCTCTATGAAAATGTTACAGGAGCAAGTGTCAAAAAGCCTTACTGAAGTCTACGTAGACAACAAGCCACCACTCTCTGCTTGGCTCTGCCAGGCCATTTCATCACAGAAGTTTAACACGTTGGAGAAGCATGACTTGCCCTTGGTGAGTCTATACTGACTGAACCTGATGCTTTTCTTGTTCATATGCCTGGAAATTATTACCAAGCTTAACCAATGTGGCAAGAGACCCCGTGTGGTTCTAACAGCATGGCACAGTGGTTGGCTTGGCAGGAACCACGGGAGCTCCAAGTCACATATGCAAAGCATCCCCAGACCCACACCCTAGATACTCAAGCCCCAGAAACCACCTTGATCAACAAGCCTACTGAGGAGACCCCTCAGCCGATGAGGGCTGTACATGACCACGAACAACAGTTGATCAGAGTGCAGATGTCACCGGGCTATAAAATGTGGCTTCTGCTGGAGATCCCCTTGCACTGTTTCTCCTTGAAGTAGTGGGTCTGTGATTGGGACCTTTTGATCAGGACACTGTCCAAAGTAACTGGGATTGAGTGTCCTCACCTTATAGGTAAGTGGCTTGGGCATTTTGACTCCTCATTCCAAGCTGAGATTTAGCTACACACCATTCTGTATTGTTACCAACTGACATTCTGAACCTGTTAAGTCGTGTCTTCTGAGGTGTTTGTAATACAAGATGTCTGTTCAGCTTGACCATTTCCCCTTTTTCCTGACACCATTAAAACTGATTTTTGGAACATATTTTGTTGGTCCCACACTTCCACAGTAACCACTTAACAAGCTTAACCAGCTAGCTGGATTACTACTTTATTTCTGTAATTTTACAAGGTTAAGGTTTTCATTTTAGGAAAGAGGTATCAAATTAACACTGGTGCTTAACAAATTCCTGGTATTGTTGCATTATATATTATTCATCCATGTTTTAAACTCTCATCAGGGAAAAGAACTGTTGAAAAAAGCAGCTGAAATAGCACTCTGATAGAGTAAGATCTCCTAACCCTGCATTGTTAAAACCAGTATGTTAGTTTTGTTAGCTCTACCAGTTGCCTGACAACTACAGTTCTTCAGTCCTGATGAACAAGAATTTTCAAAATCATTTTGAGGGATCTCAAAGAAAGTTGGATGCATATCTGTCTAAGAATACTTTTAATCCTCTTCAAAATTATGATTTGGTATAATCGTGTTTGCAATAGAATGAAAAGTTGTTTTAAAAGTGACTCAAGGCTTTCACTTCTGAGTGAACTCAAAGGAGGCTTAAACATCAGCTTCCATAAAGGTCTATTTTCTCTCATGTTCAATATGCATGAGATTAGCTGAAAGGTTATAAAGAAGGCACACAGATTAAACATCTCCCATCCAGATAAATTCTTCTGTCATGGTAGTTTGATCTTTTTTTCCCATTATTACAAAGTACAATTGCTAGCAGAAATTCTTGTGTACTGTCTGCCTTAAGTTATATTAAAATAACTGTTGTGCTGCCTGCAACTAAGCAAAAAAACCCCCATACTCTGTTTTGAATAATTCAACCAATACCTAGGAAAACTTGCAGGTGGTTTGTACTTGTATGATTTTACTAGAATTGCTATTCCACTTGAGAATCTTTGTTAATTAAAGGGATTTCACACATCTAACTGTACAGGTACAAAAATACTGATTTCATTTTGTTTGTAAATGACCTGTGTCAAGATGCCCTAAGGTGCAGTCCAGTTAAGAGAAAACTACTATTAGATTATAATGAGGACTCCTATAAAGAGCCTGGCTTAAACTTTAGCATGCATGACATCAGGCTGCAGTACCAGTAAAAACAATGCTGCTAAAACCAATGATCCCTACCCACGCGTTTGTGTGAGCACTTTTGCCTCAAATGACTTCCTTTTTTTTTTCCCCCATCACAACAGTTTTCAGACAGACATATTACATGATCACAGATAATACCCGTGTTTCTGACAGCATCATGAAACCAGAAAATTAAACTAGTCTTCTTTTACTACACTGATCCAACAAGGAGAGGAGACAGCAGCACATGGCAAGCAGGGGGCACAGAATGTGAAGAAACCAACAGCAAGATCATCCTTTCTCACAACGCTCCCACTAAGCTTATCTCATCTTACAGGATAACTATACCCAAGAAGTACCACTGCAGCTTAGGAAAGCGCAGAATTCAGCATTTACCCACCGAAAAAGCCCAATGCCAAAAATAGTGTTCATATCCACATCCTAGGAACTGCAGTGCCTCTTACCAAATCACGGCAAGCTGCTACCGATGTTTTACCATTAAAGCATTCACTGTGCTGTTTTGCTAGGTAAGAAAAATCTGAAATCCTGTCCCTAAACTGCACACCGCTCCAATCACGCCTGCACCCCACGTTTATTTCGTTTGCACTCTGAGCAAGTACACCGACACTACGGCCTTCCAAGTCAGGGGGGGCAACCGTGTTTGTAGAACAGCCGTCTCCCAGCAACCGTGTTTGTGGAACAGCCGCGCCCCTGCATTCCACCAGTTCACAACCCCCACAGGACCCCAGCGCTTGGGATTCGCGCCCCAGGGCACGGCGCACAGTTCATGTACATCCCAAGCTTCACGAACAGAACAGAGGCTCGCTCCCGCTGCCCGCCATGAGGCCCGGGGCCGTGGCCGCCCCCCCTCCCCCCGGCATTTGAGCAGAGCAGAGCAGAGCAGAGCAGAGCAGGGCCGGGCCGGGCCGCGCTCACGGACCGCCCTAACGGCCCTAACAGCTCCAACCACCCCTCCCCCCCCCCCCCGCCAGGAGGCCCGGGGCCGTGGCCGCCCCCCCTCCCCCCGGCATTTGAGCAGAGCAGAGCAGAGCAGGGCCGGGCCGGGCCGCGCTCACGGACCGCCCTAACGGCCCTAACAGCTCCAACCACCCCTCCCCCGCCTGCGCCGTCTAGAACCTGCTGGAACGGCTCAGCCCCGCCAGCGGCTGGCCAATCACCGCACCCCTGCGCCTGGCGCCCGCCCCCAACACCAGCGCACGCAGGACCACGCCGCACTCCCAACAGCCACCCCCTTACATAAGGTTACCCTGCGGCTTCCGGGGATTGGGTGGGAAGGCCAGCGCCTGAGTCACGTGACAACCCCGCACGCCATTGGCTGGACGGGCACGGCCAATGAGAGCCGAGCTGCTGGATTCAAACGGAGGGCGGCGCGGAAGCGGGCGGTTAGTCTGCGGGGTCGCCACAGGGGGAAGACGTGTTCGCCGCTCCTGCCGCCGCTGTTGCTGCTGCCCGCCATGGCCCACAAGCAGATCTACTATTCCGACAAGTACTTTGATGAGCAGTACGAGTACCGGTACGAGGCCGTGGGAAGGCCGGTTGAAGGGATTAGGAAGGGACTCCTGCCAGCCCTTTGGTGGGGAGGGGCAGGGTGGCTCGGGCAGGCGCTTTCCTCGGGGCGTGGGCGATGCCCTCAGGGAATAAGCTCTGTTGGTGGCGACAGTAAGCGTGGCTTTAGCTTCCCTGGGATCAGAAGGGCTCAAAGTGTGGGGGGACCGGCCGTGCCTTGCTCCCCGTGGCTGTGGGTTGCGTAGCTTTCCAGCGGGGGGGTGGTGTGGGGTGATTCGAGCGCTGGTCTGGACCATTCGAGCGCTGGCCGGAGCTCTTCCAGGGCGGTCTGTTGGTGAGCGGGCAGCGCCAAGCCCCATCCGGGAGCTGCCGAAGAAAGCAGTGGGGGCGGGGTTGAATCGGCTGCGGCGGAGCTGGGCCGGGACAGCGCGGAGCCCTCAGCCCCGGCTGACGAAAGCGGGGTGGCGAGCGGCGCGGAGCGCGGGCGGGTCCGCCTGCTGGGGGCGCTGGCGCAGGGTGCCTGCAGGGCGAGGAAGGGAACTGAAACCCACTGGCTCAGATGCTGTAGGTAGCAAAGGGTAACGTCTTGTGCCGTCTCAATTCCAGCTCCGCATGTGGATGAAGCGTGCATTTTGATTAACGCATCAGCTTTGAAGGCAGTCCATAAGGCCACATCGAAACATAGGAACTAACACGTGTAGTTTGTAAAGCCTTAGGCACAGTGTTCTACCTGCTCTAACCGCAGTCAGTTCTGGATAACTGATACTGTTGAAAATCAGTCCTCTAGACCTACATGAAAGCACTAATACAACGCAGGTGGTTTTTTCCTCTGTGTAGAGATCTAGGTGACCCTTGCACCAGCAGACTCCTATGATCTCAAAACCAAGATTGAATGCTCTGCTATCTAGTAAGTGATAAAGGAACATGCAAATGTGGAGAGCAGGCTGCATGTTTCTCCTCAGCTGATAGATCAAACTCTTAAAGTGTTAGTGTTCTGTCTTTCTGAACCAGTACTGTAGTCCCTGGAAAATATATTGTTGGTTACAAAATGCAAATAAGAGCAACTTTATCAATCATCCCAAAACTCCAAAGTCCTGATTTTTCAAATAGCTGATATGACAACCAATTGCCAGGAACATATACTTCTATACAAGTAGCATGATTAGAGCTTGCAGGGGAATAATCTTTTCTAGGAAGTAGGTTGGCTGTTTCAATATACAATTGCACACAGATGTAGTGGTTAGTAGACTAAGTGATTTTAAAACTGGATTCTGGGACAGATGCTTTGTAATCAAGTTAGTGGTATCAGTCAGCACCCTAGGTTCCATAGGGAATGCTCATATTGATAACAGAACTTCCTTACTGTCTTTAGTGTAGATCTGGGCAAATTTTCTAGTGTACACAGGCATTAGTGTATATAGTGTGTGTTTAATAATTGAACCTCTACAGACATGTGATGCTGCCAAGAGAACTTTCAAAACAAGTGCCAAAATCCCACCTAATGTCTGAAGAGGAGTGGAGACGGCTTGGTGTTCAGCAGAGTCTTGGCTGGGTTCACTACATGATCCACGAGCCAGGTAAGTGCATCTGGATAGAATGAAATGAACAAAAGAAGCTAAAATGTCAATTGCCTGGTGCTCAACTGAAGTGGGTAGTGTATAATTGCTCCTGCAGTGGAATCCAGCTGGAATTAATTACTGAATGTTTAGACTCCCCTTTATCTCCTTGCTTTTCTAGCCATTTGTCAGCAAAGGCAACATAACAGCCTCTATTTTAAACTTTCACATCTTGTTCCCAGAACTGCAAAATGCTAGACTTGGCCTAGGTATGTATGTCCTATCAGTAGACTAAACATGCCAGACTGGAAACTGTTCCTACGGCTTCTTGTTAGCTCCTGAGTAATGTTGGTATCTCAATGACCGAACTGAAGTTTATATAGCAGTATCTCTTCATAATCATAAAGCTGACTCACTTTTTGTACAAAAATTAGGAGATAGGTAGTCATGTAGACAATGTCCTGTATTAGTGCTCTGAGAAGTCTATGGTATAGTTTGAACCGTAGTTATAACCAGCACTTATAACCATTCTTTCAGTTAATGGGGTGTGAAGCCTGAAAACTCTAATCAACAAGGGTGTACTGAGAACAGCCATTCAAGATACTTCTTAGTTAGGCTTGTCAATGGAAAGTTGACTGGTGACAGATGAATCGCACCAGCATGGTGTTCCAAGTTTCTGAATAACCAGGAGAAGAAATTTGTGTAACCTTCCAGTGTTTCCCTTACCTGGGCACCTTTGATATTTTAGGTTTTTTTGGAGGAGTTTACAATTAAAGGAGATCAATAATAGTGGCTTTTGTTGATGCTTGACACTATGTAACTAACAAGAACAGCATCAGCAGTTTGTTAGTCTAAGTTACAGTAATGCTAACATAAAGAGACAATGCCAGTACTGCGTAAAAATAATATAAACTACAAAGTAAAAATTCCAGTAGTTTCTTCCTGTAAGTATCTTAAGTTTATGATATTGCCAACATCTGGGATGAAACTGTTTGACTGTTGTAAGGTTGCTGCAAAGTTGGTCTGCTAATACTACATGCGGGGTCTTGTTTGTGGACTTCTTAACTGTTTGTTATTTGACAGCAAGCTTCAACCATTGTTCAAGACTTCCTTAATAAAAGAAATGCCTATATCTAAGGCATAAATGACAAACTAATGCTCTATTCAATTTTATTTCCACAGAACCGCATATTCTTCTCTTCAGAAGACCTCTTCCAAAGGATAAGCAGAAATGAACCACTTTCTATAACTCTTCTGATCTATGTATATGAGTGTATATATGTTGGTAGTATTCAGTGAATACTTTAAAATGTACAAAACCTACATCCATACCTGTGCATGAGCTGTATTATTCACAGCAACAAAGCTCAGTCAAATGCAATTCCAAGGAGGCTGCTAGGGTGTTCAAAGAGTGATGAACTTATCTTTATACTGTTGGTGTAAGTGCCTACCTGACTTTTCAATTAATTTTATTAGAGTTTACTTATTCCATATTCTGACTGCATAATCATTTCTTACCTGTGTTCAATAATTTTTGCACTCAACTTTTCTCCTGAATTCAATGGCTCACCTGTTTTATAGTAGGCATAAATAAATAAACTGGTTTTAGTGATACCTAAGTTTCTAGAGTTCTAATTTACCAGATAAAACAAATATTCGTTTAACATGCTAAGAGTACCTACTTCAGAAAACAATTAGTTGAACCTATTTTGTTTCTCTGCAAGAATGATTTTGCCCTGCAGGCTGAAGTTCCTAACCCTGATTGGAATTGGGAACTGCAGGCACTGTGAAAAGAAAGCTGGCAGTGATGGGTAATGCTCAGACTAGCTTCTGACAAGCTCGAATTATGGGACTCTAGCTGGTCTAGGTTATAATGGGATTGATTATTCTGCAATGACTACTTGTTATCCTGCTTCTCGTGTCTGGTGACAGGATGCAAGGGAATGGTTTAATGCTGTGTCGTGGGAAGTTCAGGTTGGATATTGGGAAAAAGTTACTCACTGAGAGGGTGGTCAAGCACTGGAACAGGCTCCCTGGTCATGGCCTCAAGCTCGTGGGTGTTCAAGGAGTGTTTGGACAATGCTCTTGAGAAAGGTTTTAACTTTGAGGATCCCTTATGTGGAGTCAAGAGTTGGACTCAATCCTTTTTGGTCCCTTCCAATACAGGATATTTAATGATGACTTGCTATAAACTTGTTTTAGGATGTTAAGTGGTACTTGTACAACTTATACATATATATAAGTTTATATTTCTGCCACAAACCTTTTAGGCTGGGGTTTTTAGCCTGCATCCTGTTGTTTGTTTTTTTTTTTTTTCCTGGGAAGTCAGCTTGTACTCGGTCGGCGGAAATGGTCTGGAAGAGTTGTCAAAGTAAACAGTGTTATTCATCTCATAAAAGCAGAAAAAGTGAAACTCTGATCAGACCTTTTTTAGCAAGCTGTGCACCAGCAAAGGTGAGCTGCTGACAAGTAGTAAGTTGCATCAAAATGGTCACTGTGGCATCTTTTCACCACGTAGTAGTAACCAAGCAATCTGATATTTTAAACATCAGTACATTAGGTGTTTGAATAACTGTATAGTACCTGTACACCTAGTTGTGTTGTCCATGTCAAATGCAACCTAGCACTGCAGCTGTGAGGGATCTGGAGGGCCAACAAGGCCAGAAACATCTGTGTATATCTTAACTGGTAAGAGCATGTATTCTCCCAGTGTGATATGTGTGTGTGCTACAAAGGTCTTTATGATGATGAACAGAGGCAAGTAACCCGCTGAGTTTGAGGCAAATAATCTGTGAGAGTTGTCCATCTGGGTGGTGGCCAGCTGGCTCTGCAGGCTGATGCGTGAGACCACTGCCTTATGCCTGCAGCGGGGCTCTCCTCGGCCCAAGCAGGCACCGGAGGAGCCGTGGGTAACAATCCCCTTGAGCCGCGCTTCATCCCCGCGCTGCAGCCCTGGCGGTTGTCCCCCTGGGCGCTCCTTAAAGGCTTTATGCCGCCCGCCGGCGCCATGCTGTGCCCCGCTCTGCCGGGACAGGGCCCTGGCTCCCCGCCCGCCCCGGCGCCGCTCCGCGCGCAGGCGCTGCCACGCCTCCCGGCAAGTCATGTGACCGGCCCCTGACGGAGACGTCATCGCAGCGCGCCGCTGCGCGGGGCGGCGGGCCGTGGTGGGGACGGCGGGCCTGCCCGCGCCATGTCCGCGGAGACGCGGCCGAGTCCCGGCCGAGGCGGCGAGGTAAGGGCGCCGGCGCCCTCCGCTCCTTCCCCAGCTCCTCCCGGCCTGTTGTGTAACGGTGGTGCGGAGCGGCCGCTGGCGGAGAGGCGCGGCCCGCAGCGCCCCGGGGCCCACGGAGAGCTACCTTTGGCTCGCCTGGCGGAAGGCAGGGTCTGCTCGCCCCACCGAGCCACCCACCTGCCCGCGGGGCTGGGCGAGCGGTTCGTCCCGCTTGGGGCCGGGGGAGAGGAGTCCTGCGGGAAGGGTTGGAGCCGGGGAAGGCACAGCTGTAGTTGATGCACAGCGAGTCGCTCCCCACCGCTCGGACAGGGGAGCCCCAGACGTAATCTCCAGCGAGATTAATCATAAAACCAGCTTCGTGTTGAGAGAGTGGAGAGTCTTGCGGGGACAGGCGGACGTCCCAGTTGCTCTAAAGATGGGTGTACAAATACGGCCCAGTAACAGTGGCGTTGCATTGCGCATGGACTTATTTCCTGGTCAGAGCCGGGGGTCTTTGAAGTTAGTGATTAGCCTGCAATCACAGTTGCTTCCTGTGATGTGCTAGGCATTTAGTGAATGAGGTATTCTCAACAATTGTTCAGTAATGCTTTGCTTTAAGTACCTCCTGAGTTTATGCTTTTGATATATATTTGTGTACTTAATTGTGCCAGTTTCACACTTTATTTGGCTGTGGTGCAATGGATGTTCCTTCTATATTTGGATCTGCTTGGTAAATTCGGGAACTGAAAAGTTTGAAGGTACTTGTAGTTTACTTTAGGCTGTCAGAGTTTTTTAAATGATACAAGTGGAGGATGCAGGGAGTCCAGTTTATATGCACAAGCATTGATATAAGCGTTCCAATATTTTTAAAAGCCCTCTGTGTTCATTAGTTAAATTGGTTTTGACAAGTGAAAAAATCCCAGTTTTCGTGTAGTAGGTCAGGTACTCTGAAATGCACAGTCAACTGGAGGAATGATTTGTGGCATGCATTAGAGTGCACAAAGCTGTGTAATACTGTAGTGGCAATAAATATTTTGAGTCTCATTTCAATGTCCTTCCATATATACATATCCAGTCAAAGTCGATGGTAATTCAGAAAAAATGGAAAGTTCTTCATATTAGGTTTGTGTTGTGCCAGAAATTAGAAGGCTATATAACTAAGTAATCCTTTCAGACAGAATACCTTAAAATTCAGATGTATACAAAGCTGTTATTGTTACATACTTCCAGAGTTTGATTTTACGGCAGTGCTACTATATAAGCTTTAGCTTATATAAGCTTCAGCTTGTATGGTTCAAACCTAATTATAATTTGTCTACTAGCATTTGCTGCATCTTGTGTTAAGCAAGTCCCTGTCCTTTCCGTAGCTGACCTTTGTGAGTATTTCATGTTAAATGTGGGTATTAAAGGAAATAACTTTCCAGAGCAGTCACTTTTCTCTTAGAAACCCTTGGTTTTGTTTCTTCCTCTTTTTCCATTTCCTTTCAGTAAGCTTTATTGTTTTGTTAGAAGAGAGCAAGCTAACACTTTCCTAAGACAGTTAAGTTCACAAGGGTGAGTATTTTTCACTTATAACATTAATTTCCAACTGCATCTAGCCAAAAGACATTTTTTTTTCTCAGGGTGTCAAGTTGTCAGTAGAGGTCAAACCATTTGTTCCAAAACGTGGTAGCTGTGGCATGGTTGGAACCCTCAGAAGCATGTGTCTTTCCTAGGTACTTAACTACACACTACCCATTTGTTCATGAGCCATCTTTGGATAAGTATGTATATTTTCGGAATCTTATTTCTTGGGGCAATTTAAACTTCCGGTTCCAGATACTGAATACTCTTATGGAGTCAAAGCTCTGATACATAACCATTATAACTATAGGAACACTTGTCTTCATGACTTAGGTTTTTGCCATTATGTTCTTTGGGTATCTATCTAGTGCCTTGTCCCATGCTCCCAAGGGACTGTATTGTTATGGAGCATTAAGGAGGATTTGTTGGTTTGTAGTGATTGACCTGACTTGTTTGTGCTTTGGAAGTAGCTGAATCCAGTCCTTGGGTGAAAGAGTGGTTGTTTTATGACAAGGATGGGGTAAATATAGTCATATACAAGGAAGATGAAGGTCCTTCAAGAAGATTTCTTATGCTGTAAAACATCTAAATAATGTATGGGCTCCTCCTGGATCTCCTCTCCACAACATGTGCATCCTCAGAAAGGCAGTTTTAGTAAGAATGCTACAAGTTTCTAGGAAAAAACTTCTAATAAGGCCTGAAAAAAATTTCATGGTAGACGTATAAAAGTATTCTTAACCCCAGAGCAAGCTAGAAAAAGCCTACATGGTAGAATATTGAGTCTTCCAAGAGCCTTGTGATGTTACATTGGCCTCTGGTGGCTTCTCAGAACTCAAAGCATTGAATTAATTTTGCAATTACTGCGAACATGTTGGTGCGCCCCAACAAGTTCAGTTAGAGCCTTAGTGAACACATTCATTGTAGGCTTTCATTTTATCTATGGGAAATCTCAGCATTTTCAACCCATTTTGATTTGTAATAGAAGTTTAATGTTGAGATGAGTATGGCCTTATCTATGCATTAGAAAAACCATAGCATTAGCATTAAATCAATTGGCATTTAAAAAAAAAAAAACCAACCAGCAGACAGCAGCAATATTCTGATTAATGTTTTGCCTTGTTGGCAGTGAGCCATGGTGGTTTTTTTGACTCTCATTTGTTAGTTTTCTTCTCCTTGTGTAAACTATGATTGTAAGAGTTTTGACTGCAGTGAAGCAGAATTGCAACTGGCTCTTGTTCTGATGGGAAAGTTTCTCTGTTTTTCATTACCTGCCCAAGGTTCAGAGGTTGGCCACTTCACAGTGAACAGCATTAAGAAGTAAATGCAGCGTACTTGAGCTGAGAAATTTCTTTTCTCCCTAACAATTTTGCATCTCAGCATATAGTTTCTGTACAAAGTGTAGGAGGAAATTGGAATATTGGAAATTGGAACTTTGAATATACACTTGAAGGAAAAAGGCATTCCCCACCCATGTGTTTTCAGAAACCGTGATGGTTAAATGCAGGTCACTTAATTGTTACAATTCTGTATTGTATTTCATGCATGTCTTATACCCTATAAAATGCTATACTCCTGCTTTGGTATTATGGCATTTCAAGACATTTCTCTTAAATTATTGTATTTTTGCAGTCAAGTATGTAATGCATGCCATGTAGTTATGCTGCACTTTTGGTTTGTGTCATGAGATAAAACCTACCAAAAATAAGCCCATAGAATCCTGATCACCTTAAACAGAAATTAGGACTGTAATTGCAAAGCAGACTAGCTTTGAAACTTGGAAACAGATAGCATCTGTGTTTTAAAATATTTGCTTAACTGCATGTTTTCCCAAAACAAAATTAATTCTTTTTAAAGCAGGCTGTAGCAGTTAAGTAAATACTTAATTGAAGTAATATGGAATGGTTTTCTTTCAAAACATATCTTTTTTGTTAAACAAATTCTTCAGCCAAGGAATGATATGTTTGTCTAGGCAACAAGTATATGCTGCAGATTTGCCCTGGGATGACTTCTCATCTCTTTCTCAATGTCCATCACATAGTGTTCTGGGAGATCCTGCCTTATGTGAATACTCCAGCTGGTCTTACTCACCTGATGTTGTTTCAAATGTATGTCCAGTAGCTGGCTCACAATAGCATTCTAACAGCTCAACACACTATAAAGGTTCAGGAATAGTCAGTGAATCTGCTGAGCAAAGGCATCCGATCAAACAAGAAAGTAAGAATCTTTTTCAAAGGTGGTTTTTTTTTTAATTAAAATTAAATTCTTCTTATTATTATTCTTATTTTAAATTAATCTTTCTAAATATTTGGTTCATTTTTTAAAGTGAATAATCACTCTCTGTTCTTGTAGTGATAATTAATAGCATTTAAAGAGAATGATAGTAATGTTCCAAACTTCAAATTTCAAAAAGTTCATGGGATTCTACAGTTCAAAGTAATGCAGTTTTTCAAGCACTGTTTTTGGAACATGAGGGGAATTTAATTCTTTTTCCTCAGAAAACATTATCTGGGGGGAGAGGGGAAGAAAGGACCATTCATTTGTGAGCTATGCTTATCTTTGTTCACTGTTTGGGCTTGGGGGGAGGGAGGAAGGGCTTTCTTTGAGCCTAGTGATGACTTCCATGAACCTGAGTTAGCGGACAACTGGTGGCTGTAATCAGCTATGTGGCTGATAAGTGATGAGACCATATCTATTGTTGAAGAAGTTCTACCTGCTACATGTAGAAAACAATCCACAAGAGAGTAGGAACTTGTATTGGTGTGGAGAGGGAGGAGAGGTTCATGTTAGAAATTACCTCTTTCAATCAAAGCTAAAACAAATGTTCAGTTAACATCTTCTGTCATTTTGTGTGTGTGCCTCTTTGGGGATGGATTTCCTAAAACTAGGATAATATTTTCACACAAAAAATAGACTCCTCAAAATATAAAAATCAGGGAATAAATCAAATGTATAATTAACCCATTTCCCTCTCTGGTTAGACGTTGTGTCTCTTGGATTTGTAAGGCTGTTATTGTTTCCAACAGGTTCAAATAATCTGTTCTCCAGTCACATTCTTCTGGTGGACCTTATGCCTTGGAGGCAGAGACCTGGTAACTTCACTGTGGTCAAGCCTGGGTAGAGGCAGTTGTAAGATTAGGTCCTAAGCATGCAATACTAGAGATGAGATGCAGAGGCTATAGACCCAAAATTAGTAGTTTTCTTTTCTTGCTGAGGGACAAATCAAACACTGAAGCTGCCTGGGGAGATGATTAGCTCAGTATTAGCATAGGTAATATAATATGAAGAAACTCAGTTTTGCTTCTGGGAGGAGTTCTGTGGTGTTCGTTGGGGCTTGGCCTCAACTGTGTACAGTTTATGGTCTTTTTCTCATACCCAGGTCATGTATTGTTTTGTGAGCTTGAGGAGAAAAGGTTGATCTTTGCAGCTTTGCGTTCACATCTCCTAAAACTTCAACAGTTTAGCTTTGAGAGGTCAGGAAATGCCTTGTTCTCCCACCCAAGAAAATAATGTTGATGCCAGATTTACTTTGAACTTAGTCCAACATCTGTAATCAAGTTAAGCTACTCGACTAGATTGATACAGTATACTTTGCAAAGATGGAAGCCTAGTGCTTGTTCCTTGCCTGCCGTTCTGATTCCCGAGTCCAGCTTTGCCAAACTGTGTGTCTTGCAATGATCACAAGGTTTTCAGGACTTTACAATATAGATAAATGTGTTTCCTTTACTGGGATCACATAGATGTCTGTGTTTCCTTTACTGGGATCACATAGGTGTCTCTTTTCTAATTACTTTCTCTCTGCTCCAAGTGTTTTGGTTGTTCTGACATCAGTCTTTCTAGTTTTGCACACAATATGTAGTTTAGTAAAAAGATTGGAATGCTTTTAAGATTCTAGATCTATTCTAGAAGATTTAAACTCAGTCTTAGAAAATCAGACTGAATTATTTAAGACCAAACAAAAAACTATTGGAAATACTCTGCTAACGAGATCTTAAAAGTATAGTTGTTGAGAAACATATGGAATAATCTCTCTTGCTTGGGCTACAATATGTGGTAAAAATGGCATGGTTAACAAGGTAGATAAAATTAAATAACGCATCTCTGGCTGTTCCTGTTTTTATTGGTTATTTGTGGGGTTTTTTTATTGGTTATTTGTGGTTATGGTATACTAACTATTTATGTTGTATTAACTTGATGGTGAAGCTCGAGAGGCAGAGGTAGTTAAGGCAAACTTGATGACTTTACAAAGTTCAAGTAAAATCAACTAAATATGTCACAATACTTGCAGCAGATGAGATCAAAAGAGGGTGAGGAAAAATTAGACAAGAAAAGGCATGGTGGAGAGGACTCTTCTCTCAGAATTTTGAACAGAACTTCGTTCCAGACTTCAGCATGCAGCAGAGATTCCATGAAGCCAGGTACAGATGTGTTGTTTGGTTAGAAATACATCAAATAGACTTAAAATGGTTTACTGTGCTATAGCCTTCAGTTTGTGACCATGTGTCTAAATCTAGAATAATTAAGGAACAAGATTTTTCCTGTGTGACTTCTTGACAGGGGATGTCGACTTAATGTCTTTTTGCTGATTGAAGACGTTCATGTAATCTGATACGAAAAATTTCCTAAGCAAGAGTCGGAATTTACAGTTGCCTGTTGAGTCAGTGTTGTGTATATATATCTGTTAGAATAGCTAGGTTGTTTTTTTAATTACCTATGTGTTGCAATAGTTTCTGTGTCAATTACCGTAGTTATGTCAACTAGTGTACTATAAAACGTACTTAGAAATGATCACAAACAAGTTTAATTATCTAGAGTTTACATGCTTTATTCAGACAGGTTCAATAAAACTACAAACAAGAAATCAACTCAAACTCCAAAAACAGAGTCTCTTCCTGTACACACATTTGAAGCTACCGTTTTGGATTTCCGCAAGTCACAGAGTTTGGAAAGCAGTGAAATATTGAATGTACAGCATAAAAGTGGACCATCGGGAAGTGCCATTACGTGCCTTAATCAACCACAGATGTCCCTTTTGTTGAACACAGAGGTTAGCTAATGCTTTCATGTTGCAGAACTCATAAAAATAAAACTTGTTTAAAGTTCAAGGATTTCTGAATGCAAGTACTTTGCATTCAGTATGGTAATTAAAGATCTGTTTAAGTACCTTGCAAGCAAGGAATTTCCTAGCTAGAGGTTTTATGGTTCTTTTTGTAGGTCATGGTGTCAGTGCTTACTGTCTCCTCTTTTATCCTTTCTCACTCTTTCCTTGTCTCCGCTGCCAGTAGATACGGGAAAGTCAAGTACAGTTAGAATTTAGGTTGGTACTGCTGCGGTCTAGAGTTCCCTCTGGCCCATACAGAGCACATGTGTTCCTCAGGTTTCTTAACAGCTTCTTGTTTTCTCTCTCGCCTGAAAGTAATAAGTAAGCAGTCACTTATCCAATAGTTGCAACAGATCTTTTTTTTTTAAAAAAAGTGTCAAATTTTGTACTTAATTGCTTTGTGCTAAAGCGTGAAAATAAGAAACTGAATTCTAGAAGTAAAAATATTATTAAGACATCACCATTTAACTTTATTCTTTTTCTTGATTTCCTTGATTCCATATTAGTTAGTAAATACTATACTGACACCTTCAGTAGTATGTCATGTATATTGAATCAGAGGTTTCAACAGTGATTAAAGATGAATAATTTTGAAGGATCCAAATGGATCACTAGAATGGTGGGGGGTCTGGAGAACAAGCCTTACGAGGAGCGACTGAGGGAACTGGGGTTGTTTAGCCTAGAGAAACAGAGGAGACTGAGGGGAGACCTTATCACTCTGTACAACTACCTTAAAGGAGGCTTTAGAAAGGTGGGGATTGGTCTCTTCTGCCAAGTAACAGGTGATAGGACAAGAGGAAATGGCCTCCCCTGCACCAGGGGAGGTTTCGATTGGATATTAGGAAAAATTTTTACACTGAAAGGATTACGAAGCATTGGAACAGGCTGCCCAGGTTGAGTCCCTGGCGGTATTTAAAAGATGGGTAGACATAGTGCTTAGAGTACGGTTTAGTGATGGATTTTGTCAGTGTTAGGTTGGCAGTTGGACTAGATGATCTGAAAGGTCTCTTCCAACCCCATCCCTGGAAGTGTTCAAGACCAGTCTGGATGGGGCTTTGAGCAACATGGTCTAGTGGGAGGCGTCCCTGCCCATGGCAGGGGGGTTGGAACTCTATCTTTAAGGTCCTTTCCAACCCTAACCATCCTATGATCCTAACCTAGGCAATTTTATGATTCTATGAAACAGCATAATATTTCCAGTGCCTAAGTGGAAAACTGCCAGTGATGGAAAAAAGACCTTGGTGCTTTTACTTGAGTTTCCTTTGTCATTGCTAGTTTGAATTTGATTATAGACTTTGTTTTCAATGTACTTGGAACATTAAAATTTTTCCTTCCTCCTTAGAGTCATTGTTTAGATGCTTTTGTAAAATATAAGAAGGCATCATCTTGCTCGTACAACAGTGGAGAGACATCTGCTTATATTTGTAATGTTGTAGGGTCAAAATGATGATGGCACTTCAAAAAGCAACATCAGGCTACTTAGAAAAACGTCAGGCTACAAAATTCCCTACATCTTTATCTGTACACAAGTTAAGGATTTTTTTAATTTGGGGGGCAGTTTATCTTTAGTTCTGTTTAAGTCAGTGATTTTATTTCTACTTTTATGATACCTGGCTGCCTATTTTACAGGAAGATACTTCTGTGGAAAGCAAAGCTTCATCAACAACTTTAGATGAAACAGTAGCCAGCTTAATTCCCTCTTCATTTGATGGTAGGGGTAAGTGCTCCAGCCAGATTATTTCCCTGTATTTTAACAGTTTGTATTTCATTAGTTTGGAAAACAAAAGTGTTCTGAGGAGCTGGTGGTGTTTGAAGTGGAAAAGGAATTAAACAGCAAGCTCACTGCAAAGGAAAAAAACAAACAAATAAAACTGTATCAGTTTCTTTCAGATGAGATGACTGTTTGTAGCTCATGGTTGCTTATAGATTTTATCAGTAGATCAAAACTGGGATTATCTTCCTTCTCTGCTGTTTCATAGCCACTCATGGGCAAGTAGTGCTGTAGTTGCCTCCCATGTTGTTTAAGAGGAGAGAAAGTAATGCATGTTGATTACTAGAAGTCTTTTGAGTAGTTTTCTGATTTTTTTCAATAAATGAGAGGTAAATGTTTGGTCAGTCTTGATAAGCAGATTTGTTTTTAAAAGCTAGTAGTCTAGGTTATAGTATGTACCTAAAAATTATTCTGTGGAATATGTTATTTCTGTCAAGTCTGTTAAACAAAGGATAGCTGTGAGAACTGTGGTGCTGAAATATCCTTTTTTTTTGTTTTTCTTTTGTTGTCTGGCTGTGGGATGCAGAACTTTCTTTTTTTTTTTTTAATTGCCACAAGCTATCAGGTGGCTAGTTTCAAGTAAGTCTTGTAATTTAATTGGAATATTTAAATCCATAATTGTGTGAAAAGAAGGTTCTGTTCAGCAGGGCTTTGTCTTGGAGGCATCGCGTGCATTATGCGTTGAATTGTCCTAGTGCCTCTCACTGTATTTCTGTGTATTCACAGACCTGTGCCGGTCTGGGTCTCTCTTGGAGCTGGCTGGGACTGGCAGTGTCCAGCTTCTCACCGAGGCCACCCCGGCAGCCTCTCCCTGCTACCAAAACCTTGCCTCTCCCAGCCGCCAAAACCATTATGCTACGTAATTGTTCAATGAAAGTTTTCCTCATTCTTTAAAAAAAAAAAAAAAAATTAGATTTTGTTCTGTATTTGTTGTGTGTTTGGAATATTGCCAAAATTAATTAAGTATGAATTCTTTCAAAAACACTGATGTCATTCAGTGTGAGCGGGTGAAATTCTTGTACACTGAGGCATATTAGGAAGTCTTTCAGCTGGTTTATATGTCTGTAAAACTGGGAAGTTTTTTGAAAAAGTCGTGATGGGGTCTTGTACATAAAAGCTGTGTGACTGAGTGCAATAAATATTAAAGGAATTTTGTATATGAGTATAGCAGAAGTTCATTATTTTAAGGAAAAATAGCTTAGAAAATGAGCATGGAATTATTTATATGTAGTTAGTATGACACAGTGTAGATTTCCATTTGTAATTTAGCTGGGCTAAATATATATGTATAGTGCTGGACAATATATGGAGTAGTTACAATTCCAGAAAACTTTCTGGAGAAGCAAGACACATGAGTGTCTTATTGCAGTCCTTCCTCAGAAGGAATATATCTCTGTGATGTACCTGCTAGTCCTTGATTAATTCATTGCTGATCCTTTTTCCTTTGAACATTTGAGAAATATGTTTGAGACATCTTTGTATATCACTTTTTTTCCCAATGGCATTTCCTGGAACGCCTGCAGATGGATCTACTCAGCCACATGTGTCTTGGGCCACGGTACTTTCACAGCCCCCAAAGAAAACTGTGTCATCACCAGCATCTGAAGGTCTTCCCAGAGGCAAAGGGAAGCAGGACAGTAAAGCAAAGGTACTTGAGAACTGCCTGCTTTAAACTAATTTTTGTCACTGTGTGGCTCTTGATGTGTGACATTGCTGCTTTTTTTTCCTAGGCTCTGTACAGTGTCCGCACCTAAAATAGCTTTTAGGACTTAATATTTAAGTTACCTTGTCCTTATTAGAATTTTTCTTCTCTTGTAGCGGAAAAGAATAACAAGATGTCAAAAAAACAGTGCTACTCCAGCAACATGAAATTCCAAAATAGCTGATTTGAATACATTACTTTTAGGCTTGACTTCTTTCAGATTCCTGACCCTCAGAACGAGGCATGAAACTTGGAACCCTTGCCTTATTTGTGTGAATATTTCTTTTTGAAATCTCAGTAGTCTTGGTGCCTTTTGATAATCATACAGTGTGCTTCAAATGAAGAGTTTTTGCAGTAGTTCTGAATTTCTAAGACATCTTGAATTTTCCTTGTCCAATTAATGTCCTAGCCTGGATTGATTAAGGTACCCTTTAGTTGTGTAAATGTGGTCACAGTCACTTGTGTTTATTTTGGTGGGTGGTATTGAAGTGAATAATTTTGTAGTGGTCACACCTCATGAATTTTTTCAGCAGTTGGAAACTAAAAATGACGCTAGTGAAACTGAGCCTGAAGAAGGGTCAGAAAAGAAGAAAAAAAAGAAGAAAAAGAAGAGAAAAACAAAGTCACCCACTGATGAAGACAAACCTCAAAATGAATCTACTACAATACAGGAACCACCAAGGATTGAGGTACACAGAAGGGGGGGGTTGTTATTGTTCTTTTAAGTGTTATGAGTGCATTGGAAAACCAGATACTAGCATAGCTTTGTACAAATTTAAATTCAGATGCCATTAGTAGAGGATATTGGTTCATGTCTTTTTCAATTGAGATGTTTATCAGAAGCTACTGGTAGGGAACAGTTGTGCCTTTTGATTTCTTGGGTATTCAGTGAGTGCAGAAGAGACATATGAGCAAATTTGGAGTGATGCATCTGAGAGTCTGAATGTTAACAGATGACAATAGAAGTCAACTTTCCTAAATTAAAAATGTTCTGTAGAAATTGTTGCAGAAAGTGAAGCGAACAAGGAATGGGGAATATACTGAGTGCTACAGAGTGCCACAGTTTAAAGAATGTGGTAGTGGCATTACAGTTCTACCCATTTCACGTCTGGAGGCAATTTCTATGGAACACAGTTGTCACTGCTTGTGTTCCTGATTGCTAGTTCCAGCTTTTTGCAAATTCATGTAGCTGTAATATGTGTATTAGCATTTTGATACTTCTGTGTATCGTAAGACTTTAGACTCTCCCACATTGGAGGCTTGTTATATGGTCCATGGTTTAACAGTGCTTCATTGAAAGCCCAGTTCATTAAACCGCTATGTACATATGTTCATGTGTATACGTTTAGTCTAGTGTTTGTAATGTTCAGTCTTTGAAATAACATCATAAAGAAGCCTTCCTAGCTGGCTTCTTTTTTTTCTACATTTTAATGTGGAACATGGAGCAGAATTGTGGCTACACATTCTTTTCATTGTGTGGTTCATTGTCCTGGAACAGCACAAGAAATTACTGTTTACAGACCTCTTTGTTAGAGAATTATGGGCAGAAGCAAAGGTTCGGCCGGTTCTTGAATCTGCAGGTTCTTTCCTTCATGAGAACATCCGGATTTTTACTATAAGCTGCTATACAGTGTCTGATGTGTGAATGACTTATCATCTGAACAGAAAGAGAATGGCAGGAGTAATGGAAAGTAGTAGGAAGATAATGGGACTGTTGAAGCCCTCCAAAAAAGAAAGGCATAGAATCATGAAACAGGACATACGCGTTGCACTGAAATCCATTACGTGGATGGTGCATCTGTTGTGGCAGTGGGAGACAGCTTTCAGACCCTCCTGGTTTGCTGGGAATGCTTGTGTGCTCATCAGTTTGTAAAATGGGTGAGCTTGTATGATACTCTTGAAATAGAAGAGCATGAAAGGATTATACAGATGGAACTTCTAGGCGCCCAGGGGATTTAAAAAGATTCTGCTATGTCCAGCACCTTACTGGAGCAATATATTGGATCATTTTACTAGTTTTGTAAAAATCACTCAATTTATAGGTACTGTTAATGAGCATAAATGAATGTATTTGGGAAAAGTAATCCTGTTTTTCCATTCACAGGAATGATAAGACCCAAGTTAGGTATTTCCTCTGAGGGGGGTGCTGAGACTTATTAGATAAATAGGAAAGAAGATGAATTATGACCATACATAAATCCAGGATGTGTCCTATCTAAATACAGTGTTTTCTTGTGTTTCCCCCATTCGTTAAAAAAATATACATTGTTAAACTAAAAAAGATATATACAAGGCTCCAAAAATAATCAAAGGTATGAAGCAATTTCTGTAGGTGTCAAGACTGAAGAACTAGGACTTTGCAGTCTATAAAATAGATGGCTAAAAGGGAATCAGAAGGGACATGGAAATAAAAAGGAAATTATTTGATCTTTCTTCTAATTTTGTTTGGTGTCCTCGGGTTCCTTATAGGTGATGATTTAAGAGCAAATACAAGGAGGTGTAACGTTACACTGAGTGCTGGGTTTTAATTATTCATTTTGCTACAGGAAATGCCAGAAATTTATTTAAATTCAGGAAGTGTTTGGATAGACTGAAATTAAAATTTATTCTAGTGAGGGCTGTTTAAATGTGGAAGTATCACCTCTGGTTCCAGTCCCAAAGCTGGAATAATGTGTTTGTGAAATATTTTCCCCTTTCTTGCAGTCATCTTCTACTTCCAGGCTTGTCTAAAAATAGTTAATTAGTGAGGTGTGACTGTCCTTATGCTAGAGCTTCCTAGCTTGGTCTGTTTAAATGAAATCTTTCGGGCTGTAGAAGTGTTGGTGTGTTCAGTAGTATTGTATCACATCTGAAAAGGCCTTTCAGAGGAGAAGCAGTGCGAGGAGTAGCAACTGAATGAAAACCAAGCTGGTGGATCAGGTTTATTATGATTGAGGTATTGGATATAAGGTGAGTAATGTAGAGCAAGCTTCAGGCTGTCTGCACTTAGTTAATCCGGAGTCTGGGTAATGAATCCTCTGCTAGTAAAATTTACTCTTGTGTCTAAGCCTTCACAATCACTTGAATGATTTATCTGTTTATTTCCATTCTGTAGTCAAGAGTTAATACCCTTTTGCTCCCCCTTTTTGTTCTTCACTACTCACATGTTTAAGGCAGAATTGTACAGCTACAGACTGTACTGGAAGAAGAGAGAAGTTGTTTGCAAGGCTGTTAAATGATCTGAAAAACAGTCCTTTAGGAGCCATTTACCTCTAATTATTTGTATCAGCTGGGAGCAATGACAAGCTGCTGTTGGAAGCATTTCTCTTGTAAGCTCTTTTGGCCCTGAATGAACTGCTGCATACATGACTTAACCATTATAGTGCTGATTATAGTTGGTGGTACTGCACTTAGCTTCTGAATTTTTGTATGTGAAACAAATCATGATGAATGCTTGATAAGCAGGGAGAAAATTGTTTCAGTGTAGGAAAATTCGGTTTTGAGAATATGGACTTAATATTTGCTGTAAAATCATCCTCTCATTTACTCATTTAGGATGCTGAGGAGTTTCCTGATCTGGCAGCCGCTTCTGATAGGAGGAACAGACTAGGATCTCAGAAATCATCATTTACTCCTGCTGTCAGAAAGCAGACTGAAGTAAGTAATCTTATGACAATATGTGATGTTAAGAAAATAAGCAAAAAGACTGCGAGTTTTAAATGACACTAAAGGTGGAATTCTTTTGATCAAATGTAGATGGTTATGATGTGGGGCTCTGCCCATGGTACTGTGTGGACAGTGAAGAAAGAGGTAGCTATTTACTGTATTCAGTAGATTCATATCATTCAAAAGGAGATATGCAACAGCTCAGAGGCCAAAAAGGTAAATTCTGGGCTAACTCCGATATAGACACCTCTGCTGTGGACACTTGAAGTTAGTTGAGGTGAATTCTGCTTATGTAGTTTATTTTCCTACAGGTAGTGTTCTGCTTTAGTTTTGTATTTCATAAAAATAATACTGAGACTCTTTCAAGTTTTGCCTTTGCTGTTTGTTCAAATAATCAAATTTCAAGGGCATCTGAACAACTTCATTCTCAGGTTGTTCAAGGGTAAGAATTTGAATTTAATTATAAATCCTCTCTTGCAAAGCAAATAACATAAGTAATAAAGGTGAAAATCCAGGTTTCTGTTTCTTTTAATCTAGTTTTGCTGCTAGAAATTTTTGCCCTTGGTTTTGTTTCACTGTGAATATTAGTGGTTTAAAGAAAAAACAAAACACAACCAAACACCTTGTTTGCTTTGTTTGAGGCAGGAAATTGAATTAACAGGGAGTAGTGAGCAGCAAAAGGCACAGTAATTGCTCAAATCAGATTTGTTATAAAGAAAATGCTATACAGACTTGTACTTCAAATGAGATAAACCTTTTAGCTTTGCAGGCACAAGTGGAATATAACCTCTCAAATTTTACATAAATTGTGGAGACATGTGATCATTAAGCCACTAATACTCCTCTGTAACAAATGTTTGAAGATGAAACTGTCTTGCTGATTATTTTTTTTTCTTCCCAATCTGAAAAAAAGGAGGAGATAATGAGTCTAAGTAGTATGGCAGCCAATAAATGATTGCATTTTTAATAGGCCGCAGTAAGGTTGCCTCAGAGCCTTCTGTCCTCCAGGCTGAATAACATCATCTATCTCACCCTGTCTTCGTAGCAGAGGTGCTCCAGCCCTCTGACAATTTTTGTGGGCCTCCTCTGGACCTGCTCTAATGGGTCCATGTCTGTCTTATGCTAGGGACCACAGAACTGCACACAGGACTTCAGGTGGGGACTCATCAGAGCAGAGGAGAGGGGGAGAATCACCTCCATCGATCTGCTCGCCGAACTCCTTTTTACACAGCCCGGGACAGAATTGGCTTTCTGGGCTGTGAGCACACATTGCTGGTTCACGTTCAATTTTTCGTCCACCAGTATCTGCCAGATCTTCTCTGCAGGGCTGCCCTCAATCCATTCATCACCCAGCCTGTATTGGTGTTGGGGATTGGCCCAACCCAGATCCAGAATATTGGACTTGGCCATGTTGAACTTCATGAGGTTCACACTGGCCCACTCCTCAAGCCTGTCAAGGTCCCTCTGCATGACATCCTGTCCCTGAAGTATATTGTCTGTACTACTCTGCTTGGTGTCATTCACAAACTTGCTGAGGGTAGACTCAATCCTATTGTCTATATATCTATTTGAATTTAAAATCATCTTCACTTTCCCCTTTTCCGTGTGTCTTTAAATATCTTTTTTTCCTCTGTGTCACCTTTTGTTTCTAAATTTCAAAGATCCGTCTCCCCAAAGAGCCTTTGGATAGTCGGTCTTGCCCAGTGGATGGAACTTCCAAGGTGGATGGACTGTTAGGGAAACAAACTTCATCTTCTATATTAGACAGAAAGAAAATGCAGGTAAATTAATGTTTCAAAAGAAGTTTACAACTCAAAATGAAAAAGAAAATTAGCTTATTTAAATATAAGACTAAATCCAAGCTCTTCTGCAATTGTGTTTGTACTTTAAGTGACAAGATCCTCTTGATTAGAAGCAGTCAGTGGTAGTAGTTGCTAGCCCCCTGTTTATGATGCAGTGTTTAGGGAGAAGTACTAGTTTTTCATTAATGTCTGTAAGTTTCAGATATCGGCAATTTTTTTTTCATCTATCTTATTTGATCATGGTGTAAATCCAGTCCAAACTGATTGTCTTAAGGAGTTGAGAACCTCTTAAAAGTGGTTCTGCCAGATTAGGACAAGAAGGCAAGGAAATCCACTTAGTTTGGGTGAGGGAGAAAAAATACAGACCAACAGTGAGGTCAGTAAGTAGTTCCATGTTGGTGAGTAGGTTCTGGCATAGCTCTGATGCAAGATGAGATCCTAGACTCAGATGGAAGAGGTCACATTCCTTAATCATATTATAACAGAAGCTATAATGAATTGAGCCTCCGGGATAAGACTTCTGAAAGTACAAAATCTGTGAGTCATTTCCTTAGCATGTTCTGCCATCGTAGTTTGCCCTTTCGTAGTCTTTCTAGACTATTAATTTGTAATCTTTTTATATTCCAAATCATTAAATGTGATGCCAAGTGTGGGACACCACTTTTGCCTTCTCTTCAAAGCAGATAGAAAGATTACTGCTTATGAAGTAGTGATGTTTAAAGACAATGACCTCCCTTTTTAATAAGGCATTGAAGATAACAATACATGTGTATTGCAGCCACATAACCTGGAAGATTGACAAGTAGTTTTTCTGTACTTTTAACAAAACTTTCAATTCTGGTAAGACTTTTTTCTTTTTCAAAGATAGGTGGCAGTCTGACCAAAGTGGGAAACTGACAAAAAGCACCTCCTTTATTAAATACATTATATGTCTATGCTTTATTCGAATAGCTATTAAAAATTTATTTGAACTGTTTCTGGTTTTTTTTTGTTTTTCACATTAAAGTTGATGTCTATTTAAAGATAAAAATACTTTCATTGAATTAAGTTAAAAATTGAAAGTATCATGGATGAAAATGTTAGGAACGTATTACACACCATACAAAAAGAGCCTTTACATCTGAAATGGAGAGTGTTACTAATTGGTACTGAACTTGTTCAGGAAACATCCAGGAGCACTGGTAAGAAGAGTCAAATTCCCGTGCAATTGGATTTGGGTGGCATGCTGGCAGTCTTGGAGCAGAAGCAGCAAACAGAGAAGTCAAAACAGTCTTCTAAACCTGTGGTGTTTTCAGGTATTGGTTATGATGAAATTTCCTTTCTTTCAACTTTAGTTGTTTTTAAGTATTCACACATTAAATGTAGGCTGTTTTCTGATCTGCAGTGATCTCTGAATATGCAGACAGGAGCACAGTTCACAAGATAGAAGAGAACATGAAAGTTCTTAAAAAAGTTTAAAAAGCATAGCAATCTGAATTGTTTGGAGGAAGACTTGGGGAAAGAAAAATCTTCAGGACAATGATTTGTAAAGGAACACCTTATATAAATATGAAATTGAAACTTACCTTTGATGAAAATACTAACCTTTGTGGACATTTTTGCTTTGTCTTAAATATGTGTATTACTGCTGTGATGTGCACCTGCAGGAAGTGGCTGCACAATAACAAAGGTGTTCTTAAGCTCCTCTGATGCTAGAAGTCCTCTAGAAATTTACTTTTGCTAGAATTCCTAGAGTGGAAAAGCTCCTTTGTGAACACAGGTCAATCAGCCCAAGCCCAAAGATGAGTTCTGCTGTGCCTGATAATTGTGAAATATTTGCCCTTAACAAAATGCTAGGTTTTGGTGAAGGAGAAAATCTTTTGGACCTTATGGATGCATAACCAAGAAGCAGAAACAAATAATTTAGTCTATTTCATTGTGGCTTAAAATTTAATCTTGGCTATGTTAGTGCAGTATAGTTTGCAAAAGGAAGCATGATGTTTGCTAGAATTAAATGATGGCAAAATTTGTCTCCTTATTTCAGTAAGGAACTTTTTCAAAAAATTATTTCAGAAAGAGAGCTAATCACAAGATAATTCATCTCCAATGTTTAATGTGATAACAGCTTTCTAAAAAGAAGCTAAAAATACGAAGCACTGATGAGGTTTTCCTTTACTAACTGGGAGAACTTGTAAGATGCTTTTTAAAATTCTTTTTCTCCAGTAAATCTCTTTTTTTTTTTTTTTTCTTCATTTGAGTCAGTCTAAATGTTGCAGAGGTACTAATAAGCAGTTTTGTTTTATGAAACTATACAGTGCATGTATTGATGAGTAGAAGGTGGAGCACAAAGGTATGGGTCACAATACCTGTTTTCTAATATTAAATTGCCTGTGTCTGAATCTGCTGCAGAAGAGAAATCTGTGTCATGCTCATATCCTGGAAATACAAGGCAGATGTTACCTCAGCTTTACACTTTTTTAACATTTAGTGCACCCATTAAATTGGTGTGTGCTGGAATGTAACTTTAGTTTGTGAAGTGGCATTGTGCTGACCTCTGTAACTAGAAGAGGAGCACAGTGAACAAGAAGGGGAAGGAGTGTGACTGCAGACAAAATTTTGTTCCACTTACTGCTTTGTATGGTAAATAATGTGTGGATGGAACAGCATAGTAAAGCAGTAGTTATTTCAGTTTAAATGGTATTTTGGAAGTACGTCAATCTGGCAAAGTGACATAAACTGTTAAGGCCATCAAGTGCAGGAACGTGAGAACTCTGTGAGTTTGAAATGCAGAGGTGATGTGTGCAGTGAAGGAAATACCACGTGTCTGCAGGATGTAGACTTATGTCTTGGTAGTTCTCAATTTGCCTTTGTTACACAGAGACAAAACAGATAATTTCTGGTGTAGCAGTTTATGAAGTAAACTTACTGTATGTGTTTGTATATATAAACTATGCTAATAGTACTGTATGTGGTATTGGAGGATCAGCATATAAATACTTTGGAAACAGTAACTGAAGATGACTTAAGACAAGCTGCCAGAAGCTTTGATGTTTTTTAGGGGAGAGAGGTTGCCTGAGGCACAGAGGTGTCAAGCACATTCCACTGATACTTATGTCATCCTCTTCATTGACTTCCTAATGTAACCTCATTTATATTGCAGGTAACTGAAGTTTCACAAGGTGCTGTCACATGATACGGCAGTTCCTACTGATAGTGAATTGAAAAAGCAGAGTAGTTTTTAGTATGTGAGGTCATGGTTTGGAAGGTCCAGGTTCAGTGGCTTGGCCTGTCACTTAAAGCTTCTGTGTTCTAAACCCTCTGAAAAATGCAAATGAAGCAGGCATTTCCTGAGAGCTGTGCTGGTTAAGCAAAAGAGACTTAGCAGTAGCTTTGCATTACTCATTACCCGTCTGCAAATGAACTTCATCCACTTCATTAACACATAACAAATGGTAGGAGTAAGTGCTCCTGATAATGTACTGCAGTTAAGGCTAAAATCTGTAATACTGTAGCTCTGTATTTATCTTAACGAAGTACAGAATCTGTGGAGGAGGAGATGCCATTACTATGAAACATGGAGATTCCTGAAGGTTTACCAAGCTGGCATGCTGTGGTGTTGAAGGTAGTTTGGAGTTCAGTGTTTCGTCAAACAATACTTTGGGAGTAGAATAGAGGACATGTGAGTCCTTTGGGAGGAGTACCTTTATTAAAAAACATCATTTAATGACACAGGATTGCCTTGATAGCAACAAAAGAGAGTTTTTAATATGTGTATGCTAGTTCTAATCCAGTCATTAAACTTGCATTGGATTCTAGTTTAGATTTTTGCTATAGTTGTCTCATGCAGACTTTTTTTATCTCAGTTGGTGGTGCCATACCATTGCTTTCTAAAGAACCTGCTACAGCCACAAAAAGTCACCGGATAAACCAAGGAAAGATGCCTCATAACCCTTTGGATTCCAGCGCTCCTTTGATAAAGAAAGGGAAACAGAGAGAAGTCCCTAAAGCAAAGAGACCAACACGTCTTAAAAAGGTGCTCGTATTTTTTACCTTAAATAGGAAAATACAGGCTAGTGTAACTTCAGTATTACTCTGTGAATCTGTTAAACCTTCTGGTATGGAGATTGGCATCTCAGCATCCACTTGTCTAAATTCAATTTTAGCTTTCCTTGGTTTAAAGAAGGGGAGGAGAGGCAGGGAAGTTCTGCTAAATAGCATATACAGATTCTCCCAAAATATATTTTCTCACTTAAGTCACTTAGCAGCTGAAGCAGTCCCAATACAAAAGTGTCCATGTACCATTTAGGGGTACATGCAAAGAAATCTTCTGTGGTTTGGCTAAGATGTGCTAGTTTGCAGGACTAGAGAGAGTGGATCAAACAAAGGTAGTGTTTCTGTGCTCTTACAAGCCAGAATTTTAGTTGATACTGCAACAACTAGTGTTAGATCTACGTGGTAATTTCTCTTGTATCTTCCCTCTTTGCCCATTTGTGTTGCTTCCTAACATGTCTTCAGAACAGAGGATTTTGAGGTACCACTCCATCACTAGGTCACTTTTTGGGCTAGAACCATTCTTACAGAGGTAGTGGAGGTAGTTTAGTGGTCATTCTGTGCTGCAATTTCAGAACTGTACAATATAAACCACATGTATCGCTCACCAGAGTTTGTTATATTAATTGCTGTGTCTTCTGGCTGTTCTATCTTCAGGCCATCTAATTTCCAAAGTAGGTTTGAAAAGTCAAATATTGCTTTGTGTGTGTAATAATTGTGTTCTGTGTATGATAGGGAGCTTATTTTTGTTCTTTGTTTATCTTTGACAAATACAAAAGGTGAAAATCAGATTCTGTGGTGTAATTAATTATAAATTTTGGGGAGATTAGCTGGGCTAGTGGTCATATCTACTGCTATATATGTCTTAGTAGTTATGAAAGCAGCAAAGGAAGATGAGTTTCAGGAAACTGATCATTACTTTCAGTTACAGTAGCATGTTTGAATCCAGGGTATATTCTACTTTCCTTCCTTCTATGTACCATATGGCTTAGCTGTCCATGGTGATTTCTTCTCTTTTTCTTCAACCAGCAAATTCAGAGACAGTGATCTATTAACTCACTCAAGATTTTGAACAGGGGAATAAAGGGGAAGAGTAACTGTGCATGTATATATGCATGTATATGTAAGTACTTGAGCATTTGGCTGAATTGCTACGGAGTGATGGTCTGAAGAATAAAGAGACTTTTTCACCTGCTTCTCTGCATTGAAGCAATTAATCACTTTAACTTCGGTTCTGCTCTTGTCATCGATCCTTAGTAATTATTTTCTCCATCCAGACACTGGTAATCAAAGAATATGTCCTATTGTATGTAGGTTTAGGAACTATCTTTCCTTCTTTTTTTTTTTTTTTTTTGTGCAAATTAAAAAAAAAAAAACAAAAATATTGTAAACTTTGAATGGTAGTGCCAAACTTCTTTATGGTCTGTATATAAACACTTGGTAGGGGAAACTAATTTGTTATGTATGTGGCATTGAATTGACTTGGGTTTTATAAATATATTTTTTAGATTATTCTGAAAGAAAGAGAACAACGAAAACAGCAACACTTGTTAGAACAGACCACAGTACCAAAAGATGAAGATAATATTTGTCAGTCTGCAGAAAATATTACTGAAGATGAAATGCTTCTACAGCAAGGTCAAGCAGGTATCTTTCAAAGGTTATCATAGAGTATTGGTATGGTTTGAGAAACCCACAACAATTTATTTTTCTTTGGACAATTACTCTATCACTTGATGACTGCCCCCCACCCAAGAAGGGCAATCAGGAAAAAACAAGGAAACCCAAGGGTTGAAATATAAACAGATTTAATAGAGTAGGAGTAGATAGATAACATAAATAACACTAAAGAACCAATATTGATCCCAATACCAATATAAAATTTATAAGGATTATACTCAGCCAATTCTATCCATAGAAAGCTGTGCATTCCCAGCAGTGCACAGCAAATGTCGGACACTGCGAGTGCTACGGCTTCAGGAGGAAGGGAAGGCCTCAGGGGTCTGGCACAGGGGTAAGTTCTCTGAACCACTGCCATCAAGGAAGAGGGAACTTCACAGCAAATTTTCTAATTTCTATGTTGAATGTGATGTTCATGGTATGAAATAGTCCTGTTGGCCAGATCGGGTCAAATGCCTGGGTCTCGCTCTTCATCCTGCACCTGACTAACTTGAAAACCCTGAGACCTTGATATCTGCATATCGTAGCTGGCTATAAAGTAAATATTTTCACAAATTCAGACCCTAGAGTCTTCTAAACATGCAATTTTCCCAAGCATTAGAAGATAAATTAGTCCTGTGTTGCTCAAACCAGGACAAGTATGTAAATGGAGATTTGAGAGTGAGCGTACTTAGTACTTTCAAAGATGTGTACCAAATGAAAACTGTAACTTCAGGATTTTCTAAAATTTCAGTTTGGGCTTATCTAGATTTTAAAGTGTGCCAAAGCTGACGGTTAATGTAGTTGAGTAATTTGGATTCTGATTACTGTTCCATACTTTTATGCCTGTTGGATTTATTATATGTTGTAATGAGGGTCCCTGCATCTCTTTGGCAATCTGTTTAAAAAAAGATATAATAATAAAAACTAAGAGATAAAAAATGTATGACCTGTTCCCCTACCACCACAGACTGCTGTAATACTGAAGTAGTGACTCTTCAAGACATCAAGACATACTTGGCAAGTTAGTCTCTTCACAATGCTTTTTGGTCTGCCTTTTTATTGAAAAAAATCTTTATTTACATGATAGCTGTTCCTGTAACACAAGTTGCTGAAGGGTTTCTGGAAAATACAGGGACCAAGGAATCTACAGAAGGTTCTATGAATTCAAAGCAGCTAACCTCCAATCTTCCAAAAATCCATAGTAGGAAGTTTAGAGAGTAAGTATCAATTGTATTGATGTCTGGTTTTCCACAGTACCACATACAGCGTTTCTCAAGCAAGATATTTCAGTTGCATTCTGTGCAACACTAACTAGAGTTTAGACTGAAGGTTCTAAATTTTTTTCACTTTTTCTGTAAGCTGACACACAAAGAAATGATACCCAGATAGCCTGTACATAGTTGTAATTCTCGCTTCAAAATGCATGTTCCTTGAAAGAAAAAAAAAAGGTCAGAAATTCTTTAAATTCATTAGAGGCTAAGGAAGGATAAGGAGCTACTGTTAAAGTATATTTTAAATAAATGCAGTGCCAGCTTAATATTTAAGGAAAAGAGTAGTACACCTTACTTATTTTTAGCATGTACTTTGGTTTTCTTCTGCCAGACCCAATGGCAAAAATGTAAACAATGTGACTAGCCAGTTGACATTGTTGACTGTGCAGTTGAGATATCTTTAGTTTTTCTCTTTGAGACCCTTCTTTACTGAATGATTTTTTGGGTAAAATCTGGGGACAAAAATAATTTGGAACCCCCATCTTCCCCAGGGAACACTAGAAGTACAAAGTACGTCTGTTTTTAACCTTCCCTTATGAACACAATAAGGCTGTGGTTGGTTAGTGAAATAGGATGATAGACAAAAACTATGAACCTGGGGAGGATGAATTTCATCCAGATTTCTGTGTTAAGAAATATAATAGAATTTTATACTTTGTTTGGGGTACTTTGATTTATATAGGTCAAAATAAATGTTCTCAGAAAAATGTTTCAAGGAAAAACACGTACATATATATACAAATCCATATAAAACGTATATGTTGATTTATTGGGTGTGTGTGTATTTATTTTTAGTATTGTTTGATAGGGGAGCCAGATACCACTAGTAACAAAACTTTCTTTAAGTTCTCAGTTACTGAAAAAAATGTTAAGTAAATTTGTGTTTTCATGATATAACAAGTGTGTGTGGAGTAGAAATGGAAAAAAAGACAAAGATGTAGAATGGAAGGTAAACTGTTTCTATTTTACATATTATATATTTATGTGTTATATATTAGTAATTTTAGGGGTTCAACATTTAGTCAATTCTTTCTTCCAGTTATTGCAGCCAGGTACTTAGTAAAGAAGTTGACAGTTGTGTGACAGATCTCTTAAAAGAACTGGTTCGTTTCCAAGATCGCTTGTATCAGAAGGACCCAGTAAAGGCCAAGATAAAACGCAGACTTGTTATGGGTCTTAGAGAAGTTTTGAAACATCTGAAGCTGAAAAAACTGAAGTGCGTTATCATCTCTCCTAACTGTGAAAAGATTAAGTCAAAGGGTAAGTTTAAAAATATGTATGTTTGTTTAATAAAAGAAAGGTGATAAAGCAGACTTCGTGTAATAGCACCTGTATTATTATCAGAGGAACGTACTTGAGCAGCCTTTGAAATCCAGTCATATATAGATGCCTGCCTTCCTTCAGATTGTTTACTGGTGCGTAGCTGAAGTGTGAGCTGAGTCAAAACTATCTGCGGTGGGGGAAATTATATGAAACTAGAATTTGTTTAGTTATCAATTTGCAGTGCAGCTGTGCAAAAAATTGTACTAGCACAGCTGAGAAGACATATCTTCTCAAAGTCACTGATGCCAGCTGTGCCACCCCAAGAGGTCCTGCTGTTTAGTCTTTTAGGCTACAGATTGATCATAAGTTGTCAGTTATAGTTTATTTAAAATTTGTTGTAATTAATATCTTTACTTTCTGCTAACTTCAAAATAATTTTTTAGAAGCTGGCTCTTCTTTTTAATACTATGGAAGACTATACTACACATATAACAAAATATGGAATACTAGCAGTCTAAGAATTCCCCTAATAAAAAATTAAGAAAAAATGTAAAATTCTGCTTTGAAAATGGAGATCAAACACTGTTACTGAGATCCTTGTATTTTTTTCCTATAAACTTTTGTAGTTTCAAAATGCACCCATAATCGTGGGGTATTTTTTGCCATCATTTAACAGCAGTGGCCTTTAGTTATAATCAGCTTGATTAGTGTAATTCTTTGCTAATTCTGTTGTCTGCTTCAGGTGGGTTGGATGAGACTCTGCACAACATTATCGACTGCGCCTGTGAACAAAATATCCCCTTTGTTTTTGCCCTTAATCGCAAGACCCTCGGCCGCTGTGTGAACAAAGCAGTGCCTGTGAGTGTGGTGGGGATTTTTAGCTATGATGGTGCTCAGGTAAGCTGAATATGTAGGTTCATGTTTTTGTTTAGCTTTACTTTTTACCTGTAAGACGGAAACAAATACTCTGATTTTAAGGTTTTGTTTGTTTGCTTTGCTTTTGCACGCTTACACTCTTTATGCCAGATCAGTGGCTTATATGAAAATTTGATTTTGGAAGTACAGCCACTCAGCGCTGTTCAAAAAGGTAGTTGGCCATCTCTTCCTGACATCTTCTCCATCTAGATCTCTTTCCAAATTTATTTTTTTTTTAAGAGAATTGGTGTTTTTAGACATTCTTATAAATGGTTTGGTTTTCATCTCTTTATACATACTTGGCTGTTCAACTTTTATATGTGAACATATATGTTCTGAGTAAGGAATATTCATTACAGATTTTCATAGAGAGGTTAAAACAATGTATGATTTAATCTCTACTAATATTTTATGTTTTCATAGGACCATTTTCATAGAATGGTGCAACTGACAACAGAAGCCAGGAAGGCCTACAAAGATATGATAGCAGCTTTAGAGGAAGAAGCTGAAGGAGGACTAAAAGAAGCCAAACCCAACACCTTAACCACTGAATATGAAAAAAATGGCTTATCAGAAACTGGTAAAACATCTTCCAAGGACTCTGATGAGGATGTACCAAATTATAGTGAGTATTTACTGACTTCTTTTTGGTTCAGTTTTCATTCAAAGTGCCATTCAGTTTTACCATTTGAAACAAATGACACCTGATACTTCAGTGGTTAGTAAGGGGGGAAATTCTGTTTTTTTGTGAATTCCCCCCACCCCTCTCATTTTATAAACCTGAGGTCAGCTCTTGCTGAAGATGTCTTAGAGAAAATTATTCTCTGAAATGCACCAATGGCAAGTGGTATTCGTTCCTGTGTCCAAGGAGGTTTAACAGAGTTCCTTAATATTTCCATTTGTTAAAAAAACTCTTTAAGTTTTTATCTAGAAGTGCCTATTATGTAAGCATGGTGGACTTAAGTTTTGTACTGAAGCCTGTCTGAGGTGCATCTTCCTATTCTGAAACTGTTCATGTTTTTTAAAGGCCTTCTACTTCTAGAAACACATTCCTTTAGCTCTGCTCATATAGTCACCAGACAATTACATTAATCACAGATACTAGGCAATTTAAAACTTTTTTGAAAGTTTTGAAAATTTCTGAGTTTTTTTAAATTTGAATCCGTCTTCAGAGTTAAGCTTGCTTGAGTAGAGACCTGGAAATTGGACCTCAATGTATCCCATTGCTTCTTAACTATTCTTTTATGTGTCATCTGATATCACGTGGTGTACACGCCAACATGCCCGTGTGCCAACTTATCTCAACACTTTCTTTGAGGAGGAAGTAGAGAATCAGTGTCACTTTTCATTTTAAGTTTTTCCTCAAGTATTATACAGTAACTTTTTTGTTTGTCGGTTGTTTGTGTTTGTTTGTTTGTTTGTTTGTTTGTTTTCTCTAATATTCCCTAGTTAAAATCTGGAAGAGAAAACTTGAAGAAGAGTATAACCCATATGCACTGGAACTGGAAAAGAGTGCAACTGCTGACATGGCGATAGTGAATTCAGAAGAGCATCAGTAAATAGAGACCTGTTGGGCTTTTAATATGATTCCCTAGGAAGAGGGTAGCAAAATTTAAAAAATTAAGAAATATATGTTCTGAATCCCTTTAAGTAAAAAACACACTGGAGCACATGAGCCACTGGCTAATGCTTTTACATTCTATGTATTTTGTTGATTACTATAGTAAATGACAACAGCAAATTGTCTTACCCCCATACCGCTTAAATTAGCTTGGCATACTTTAATGGTTTTAAGGACTAGCATTGATTTGTTAGTGATACAATATCCCAAAAGAACTTTCTAGAAAGATAAATTTATTTTGGAAGAGATTCCATGAGCCAGAAGATTGGGGCTTACAGAGAGTAGCTTTTTATTTTTAACTCTTGTTTAAAGAACTTCAGCTTTTGTTTGATTGTGGGTTTGATTTTGTTTTTTTCTTCTAAAGAAACCCACTTAGGTGGGCAGGCTGGCATCAATGTCCCTTTCTTCCAGTCAGCAAGAAATTAATTCTGGGCAGGAAACTTGATTGAAACTGTTAATGGAAGGCCTGGATGACAGAGTTTCCCAATTAGCTCTTCTGTCTGGGATCATACAGCTGCTGTAATGGAGAGAGCATTGACTACAAAGGTCTCAAATTCCTGATGTGAAAACACTTTGTTTAGAAGTTTTACAAAGTTGATTAAGTGTACAGTGATGATGTTTCTGCTGCTGCTGAGACTAGTTTATCATAGGTCCTTGAAGAACAGAAACTGTGCCATCCTGCTATCCTATCTGTACCTTCTCTTTGCTGACAGGCTCCTCATTCCTTCACTCTGAGGTTGTGTTGGTGTATATATGTAAGAGTTCTTGGTCAGTCTCAGTTTGTATCTAAGGGAAAACACAGGAGATAAAATTTTAAAAATAAAATGTGCTTATAATGGTGGTGGAGCATCTTAGTGGAAATGTCCTATGTAAATACCATTATTCACACAAGTTGCAGGCATAAGAGGACAAGCCTAAAGAAGGTAATTGGAAGATGCACATGGAACATCTGTCAGCTGTTCTGAAAGATGATATAGATGCTATGTGATGCTGCCAGCATCTCTGAAATGTGACTGTAAGTGCTTCACCACAGTGAACATCTGTAGAGCAATACTTTGGAAAGTAGCTACCTGGTGAAGTTAGTAGTTATATAAAAACTTTAAATAATTTTGAAATTTCAAAAAATTGTAGAATGTAAATTGTTTAAAATCTGTTACAATATATTGATTCTAAGACGTGTGGCTGTGACTCAAGTCTTCTTGGGGGCACTTAATGATGAATACTTGAAATGTCAATTTTGAGGAAGAACGTTGGTAAGGGAGGCCAGCCTTAAGCTGAAATGCACAGTTGGTCACAAGTTATAATGATGATCTTTCTGTATTAGTTTCTTCTAATCTTAAGTGAAAATTGAGGTTAAAAGATCCCAGTGATGAAAGAATGGTTTCAGCTAGCAGATATCCTTGATCCAGAGGTAAGTTCTGCTTTATTTATACCACTTTGATACACATCTAAAATTCTAAAACTGCTAAACCTAGTCACTATATGGAATGGGGACCAGTTGGTGAAGATCATAGTGACAGTTTTTTGGGGTTTGGGTCATATTTTCTATTTTGTCTTATAGAAGAGCATGAAAAGTTACTTTGGAGCCATTATAGTCTGTTCAAAGTCTTAGGGAGTTATTTCCTGTTCTAAGAATACAGCAAAAAAAAAAAATCACTTATAAGGGGTCATAGCTGTATTCCCTAATTCTGTTATACAGGTGTTTTTTTCACAGAGTTATCTAAACAAAAAATCTGGCAATCTTTTTGTACTAGCAGTACTTTGCTTCAAAGACAAGGCAAAGCTCATCTATGCTCATCTAAAACACAGACCTTAATCTTATAAAGCCTTGCCTTCCCACCCAGCACCGCAGAACTAAACTTAACTCTAAATCTGGTGAACAAATACAGCAGGGACGATTCAAGAAGAGTCTTTTTATAAGTTGTCCCCTAGCCATAAAAGTTGTCATAAGAGAAACACAACGGGGAAAAAAATTCTTTTGAACATTGGTGCAGAAGACTATATATATATATATAGTCTATGTGGAAATCTGTATAGAATACTATATATATTATGATTTTCAATGTGAAAAATTGGGAAAATGGTTTGTATATAAGAATTTTCACCCTGTATGCGTGACATCGGTCATTCTTGTGTGAAAAGTGTCATTAAGGAATGTCTTGTATTCCTACACTGAAGAAAGCATTCTCTTCGGTCATATCTAATTTAAGTCTTACCAGTTAGGGGATAATTTAGGAATAAATACAAAGCTTTCTGCTATGCTAGGAGCAGCTGTTCCCATGGACTCAAGCTATAGTGATTCTTAGGTACCATTTTACTTCCATATTGTTAAAAAACATTGAGAAGATAAGACAGAACACTTGAATGACAGAACTCATACTTTTGTTTATTAGATGCAGAAGGACAAAACTCTGAACAGCAATGCAGTAAGATAATTTCACTGTGGATTAAGTAGATCTTCAGATTTTCAGTTTGCAGTTCTCTAGGAATAGATGAACTTGATGCAATTGTAGTCTTAGAATTCAAAATGGAATTTTTTGAAGCTATCACAATTTTCTCAAATATAGAAGAATAATTTGGAAAAGCTAAAGCGTCTGCTTTAACTTGGGTGCTTTGTAATGTATCAGGATTTTGAGCATTAGTCAAAGGTTCTTTATTTGGTACAGAAGCTTTCTTACCAAAGGAAGTGTGTTTGAACAAATGAGCTCGCTGACACCAGAAAGGAATGCTCTTCAAAACATTGGGAACAGAGTATAAGGTTGAAGACATTAAAAGAAAATAAATGGGGGAGTTGAAGTGTCTTTAAATGTGATCCACATGTTATTTTTAATCTCTACATCGTATGCCAAGATCCTCAAGCCCAAAATTAATGGTTGTGCTTAATGAACTCAAAACAGAAGCCATACGTCATCATATATTGTTTAAGCAGCACAAGTCTTACTGAAACCATTTCTGTTCTTCATGAAGCTGAAATAACTGGCATCAAAAAATCAGAGATAGTTCCCACATGGAATGGGTGGCCTTTCTTGTAGCATGTAATTTAGTTATCTTTTGATGCAATAAGGATATCCTCTTCTACCTCAAGCTTAGTATCAATTTTAATGCCAGCACTAGCACTTGCAAATACCTCTTTAAATGCTGTAATATTAAGAGTACTGGGTACTCTAGCTTGCATACAGTTCTCCTTTTAGCCTCTTCATTCCTTTATCCATTAGAGGCTGTTTTTCTTGTTGCAGCTCTCCTGAAGGAGAAGAAGTTCAGAATGATGTGTTACTATTGCTTCAAAAATTAAAATGGGGTTTAAAGGTTGCCTATACTAACTGTTCCAAGTGCAATAAACATGTGTCATATCCAGAAGTTATCAAAAGTAATCTTTGTTCTAACTGCTGGAAAAAAACATTAAAAGCTAAGTATGGGGTTTTTTGTTATTTTTTTTAAAGGAAGGCCAGCTTTGATGGGCAGTATGATTTAAGTAGTCCAGTAGTCTCTGCAATCCAGTTAGGCAACAGATGGGATGAAGTTAATCTACTATATTCAGTACATACAGACTTAATGTTTTGGACAAGATGAGAACTACTGATTGATTAGCATTTGATTAATGAACTGAAGAAGCAAGATGACATAACCATAATATGTGTCATAGACCAGATATTTTACTGCTGAGAGGGTCTGAAATGATGACAAGTACATAAATATATTTTATGGGGTTTGTTACATAAATATACTTTTGTTACATTTGGTTGCAGAAATATCAAAGGCTATTTATAAAACGGACTGTAGTACATCACATAGAAAGCACTGTAGGAAATTCTTTCTCCAAAACTTCTTACCCATGTTTTCCTCCAGTTTTGCATCATCTTGTCATGTTTGCTGATGGCACTTCTCCAGGTATCAAATTCTTTGGTCCATGCATCCTGACCAGCACTATCTGAGAATTGTACATTGGGATGATTATATATCTACATAATGATGAAGTGGGTCATAGAATCATAGAATGGTTTGGGTTGGAAGGGACCTTAAAGATCATCCAGTTCCAATCCCCTGCCATGGGCAGGGACTCTGCCCACTAGACCAGGTTCCTCAAAGTCCCATCCAGCCTACCTTTATCTTCCACTGTGATGTGCACTTCTGATGTTTTGTTCCCGACTTTTGAGATGAATGTACATTTATATTCTGTGTTTTCTGATACTGAATCTTTCACCCAACTCAGAACATGCACTCTGCCATCAAACAACGTATGAGATTGTTCAGTGATACACGCCTTCATCTTCTGTCTGTTCTTCTTCCAGACAAAATGGGAGTCACCCGGACCTGTAAAAACAATAGTCATCTTATTTTGTAAGAAAATACAAAATGAGTCTTTGAAAAGAAAACAAAAGTCTAAAGGACCTCAAGATCAGGCTCAAAAGCATATAAATGGTTGATGGTAACGTTTCTTAGGTTTCTTCAGCTGAAATTCTGGGAAACAAAAACCTGGGATAAAAAGGACTGGCAATGGTAATTTAGGTCAAGCCGAAGCTGTAAATCAGTTTATATGTATAAAGGAATTTTGTCTGGATTCTCACAAGGGGGAACTCACCCCACAAACAGGATAGAGCAGATGATGAACATTGGCACTATCTGCCTTTGCAATTCACTGTAGAACTAGGTCATGTTACCTACTGCTGATCAAGCTATCTTCTGGTACAAAGCTGAAACCATCAGAAAAATGCCTCGCAAAATCTGAAGTAAAGGCCAGGAGGGGAAAAAGTTAAAGATCTCAGTGTGTCAAAGATGCTGGAACTAATACAGAAGCAGAATTGGAAAAAGCACAGAACCCTTAGTCACAGGAGGCAATTAGGCAAGACACAACTTGGAAGAAGCTTGGATCAACAACAAAGAACAATCTGATCTTTTAGCCTTGTTGCTGTTATTTGTCTTAACCTGTGAAGGCAGAATTCAAATAAATGAGAGATTGACAGCAGCCCAGAGGACAGAACAGCTGTTCCCAGAAAATTAGCAAGTTTGGCTGAAGTGCACTTGGCAGTATCAGAGCTTTTTCCTTTAAAAGACAGACATCTGGGCCAAGCTAAGAACTTTGCAGTAATTCTGAGGTTTAAAACATGCCTATTTCTCCCTCAGGGCTATAATGCAGACTAGCCTTAGCAAGAGACAACATAAAGAGAAATTTGGGTTAAAAAAGTAAATGAACTTTTTGCAAGTATCTCTTGAGAGAACAGGTAACCTACTACAGAGGTTTTTACTATAAGCATTTCAGATTGGAAGACAATGTGGCATTTTTCTCTAGAAAAAGATTTGATTCTTAGTCACTGTCCTGAAAACTAGATAATCATGTAGGCAGAGAAAAAAAAAAAGGTAGCCTTTACATTTCTGCACTTCCTCAGCATATCATACTAAATTTTTAAATCATTTCGAAATAAGACTGATATACTATAAATACGGAGAGAAAGGGTGAATGGTGGAGAACGTGATCTAGTGAAAGCCTGGTAGAGTTTAAATCTGAGGGAGGGAGGGAAATGACACAATCTCTCAAGAACTGAAAATAGCCTAATACACGGTCACTAAAAAAAAATAAAAGTGTTTCATGGATGATTGTACTCATTATACAATTAACAGTAGATAGGTTGCATGTTGCTAAAATCATGGAAATTCTGGAACCAAGGACAAAATATTTCAGGAAACTAATGCTGAAATTGGAATTTGGACAAGTAGGAGGAACAGAAAGTCAATACAAGCATGGCAGAAAAAATAGAAATCTTTAGAGAAATAAAAATAGACTTTGAAGAGTAGAAACCTACCTTCAGAAGCACTCTGGATTATAATTTCTAACGATGGCACAATAAATCTGACCCAGCATTTCATTAACACAGAAATGAAATTAAGTGATAGTGTTTACGGAGGTCAAGCTGACTTAGAAAATTCAAGACCAACGACCACAGTGAGAAAGAGGGAGTGCTGTGGCAGAAGCCTCAGGATGAACTTTCCAAGTGTAGAAGAGTTCCCACTCTAGCGTTGTCAGGCTAACAGCCCAGTGCTTGAGTGAAGCCACAAGCTCACAAGTTTTATTTGCTGCAGTTCAATCCCTAAGATGTGGGAATAGGGTCATTACCTAAAACTGTGAGCTTGAAAAATGCCATTTTAGGGCCATGCAAGGAAGTAGCATGTTCAGTGCAGGACACTTCCCTAACCTTATTTCAGATGTTACTGTTCACTCCAGAGAACCTGCTCTACTTTCTGGTGCTAAAGATCACTGTTGTTCCAGAAATCTCCCAAAAGCTCATTTTACACACACGTTTCACCAAAAGACTTCAATCCAACAATTTCCTTGTATGGGAATTTTTGCAAGCTGTGCTGTTTCAGGTCAGCTCTTAACAAGTTGCAACTGAGCCATTTTGCCCTGTCTTTGTTTTCTCTACAGTCAGAAGCACTGGAAATCCCCACAGAGTAATACTCATACGAATTAGATGACAGCAAAATCTAGGTTCAAGCACTAGTCAGGTTTTTACTGATATTCATGTTTCACTACAGTTTATTTCTGCATTTCAGGCACTGTGCTATGAATTTCTCTACTTTTATTTCATTCTCAGGATTGAACACTAGAAAAACTACATGGTAAAACAGTTTCACTGCAAAAATGTTGAATCACATTTGTTAAATGGAAATTTTCTACAACTCTAGAGTGAGATAAATTCATATTTATATGTAACAGAGAAGTATTTTGGAAGATAAAGGAAATTACTATGAGCATACACTCTGTATTTGCTACTGTTCCTATAACACGAGTTACTTGCATGTCTAAATGCAAACTTTAAAATGTGAATTTCTAACACATTTGATCTACTTACTTTGGCATCCATTTTAAGACTGCTTGAGAGATTTTAAAAAGTCATCTTAATAAAACAATGTTCAGCAGAGAACTGAACAGCAAATCAGTTTAGATATCCACGCAGATATGTTTAAGCAACAATAAAAGATATTTCAGTTAACTTTGAAAGCATTCCTTCAGTTTCAGTAGATATATTATTAGTAATCAACTTCACCACCTTAATGATTTTAGAATGGGA